TCGTTAAATTAAATGCTTTTAGGAAATATGAATTATCAAACAAAATAGCTGTTATACTGTAACCCTTAATGCAGAAAATATTTGTACTTGTCAATGACCTGTTAGCTTTTTCTGACTTTATTGGACAGCAGTATTGTGTTACATAGTCTTAATACAATAAATATAGCAGAAGACACAGGTAATACACTGGGTTATGTCCCCTGGGTGAAGGTCATGTATATGGAATGTAACTCTGTTATGACTACTGGAAACACTGTCTCCACGTAAAACATAAATATTTCTGATGTTGGGTGGAAAAAGTTCATCTGTGACAGAAAACTAGCCATGTTTTGTCTTCTTACTGTAAGGGAAATCTCTGTTTTCTTGTATGAGGAGCTATTCTATATTCTTGGAATCCTTCATGTTGTATTGTTTTGGAGAGATATCAACTCATGTATCATAAATGCTGTGAGGTTATCGGTATTTCTTTAGCACTGTTAGCTCCTGTTGTGTTGGAATATATGCTCGGGGAGGGGAGGGGTGTATCGGGCAGATTTAAAGGGGGAGAAGACAATGATGCTCACATACTGGTTCTTTACAATAATATTTTCAATAATATTTTGAGTAATTTATGCTGATGTATTTTCAAAATATTCAAGTGATTCTATATAGTTCACATGTATGAAAGCACATGATCCAAATAACACATAATGCATGCACTATGTATATAATGCTTGCACAGAATGCACACACAATACAAATACAATGCACACTAAATACATGCATAAGGGGGCTCCTGCATCTGTTACACACTTCATGCTTCTGTACACCAGAACTGGCTTCTGTATCTGTTATGCCTCAATTACTTCTATATCTGTTGACACGTGAAGGTCCAGGTTAGAATGAACCTTCAGTAACCCATGCTTGTTGTAAGAGGCGACTAACAGGATTGGGTCGATGGGCTCGCTGGCTTGGTTGACACATGTCATCGGTTCCCAATTGCGGAGATCGATGCTCATGCTGTTGATCACTGGATTGTCTGGTCCAGACTTGATTATTTACAGACCGCCGCCATATAGCTGGAATATTGCTTAGTGCGGCGTAAAACTAAACTCACTCACTCAATATCTGTTACACACTTCATACACCAGGACTGCCTTCTAAACCTTATTCACTATACTATTTAAAAAATCACAGTTTCCTTCAAGCTGCTCAGCTATGTTCAGCTATGTGTCACATATGACATTATTCTCAGTAAAGAAGATACTGATCTGAAATGCAATATGGCTGCCAATACAGCCATTTTGAAAACCTCTGATTACACAAACAGATTTCCATCATATCGCTCCCACAGATTAATCATTTTACCAGGTTAGCTACAGTGCCTTATGCTTTGTTTCACATTTGTTAACTTTTTCCAGGAATTGTTATATATTTTTTCATATATTTATCAGCATTTGTTTTTACCCCGTATCAACTATCCATTATTTTAAAACAAAAAACTGTTGAGGGGCTAATGGCAGCCGTCAGTTTGAAAAGTTTATAGACCTTATCTGGTAAAATATCTCCTCAGCAAACCAAGCATTAAGTGAAACATAATCAGACGTTCTTTATCTTCAACGTATTTGGCAGAATATGCTTTTGCCATCAAGGATGTCGTATAACTATTTATCGTAAGCATATGATTCAACTTACAGTGATTAATCCAAGAGGCAATACAAGCCCTCAATGGAAAATAATCTCCACGATTGTGTAACCTTTAACTTAAACATTATAAATTTCTTTTGTAATTAATTTGTGACATTTGTAATTCATCATATCTGACAACTCCAGTTTTTCAATTTGAAGCTGGTTCTTTTTCAGGATAGGGTATATTTTGAACAAGCCGCACTTGAGGTTATTAGTGTCTATCAAACCTACTTCAATGCCACATACCACTGTCTAAGATAATATATATAAATTGCTTACTCAGCTGATCTCGACAGAGTGACATTGCTATATACATTCATAAATAGGCCATGTGTGTATAGACATGATATAAACAGACAGCTTATGCCACATACCGAAGCTTGACAGGGCCATGTGTGTTATTTACGTTACACACATGCACAGTTATGACATTCCGGCTCAGCTTTTATATATACAGCACCGATCACAAGTATCTGTGGAAGACAGACAACATGCAGAGGAGCTGGACTTATTCTGCACATTACATGGGGAATCGTGTTTCTGAAATACAGCCTGCAACTGAAATAACTGCCACTTAAAGTGAAATATTACTGTAAAATCATATTGCTTGGAATTTTGAAATGTACTGATTCAGAATTGGTCTTAGAAATACAGTCGTATTTGTGAGTGAGTTTGTAGTTTTAAGCCGCCTTTAGCAATATTCCAGCAATATCACGGAAAGGGACACCATGTGGGGAATCAAACCTGGGTCTTCAGCGTGACGAGTGAATGCTTTAACCACTAGGCTACCCCACCGCCCTAACAATAAAGCCCTTGATACAGGTATGGACTGTGGATTGTCTCAATGAACATGTCAGCAGTAGCCATTGGTCCAGAGGCAGAGCTTAAGTTCCTAAATGCCTAACTTTAGAATATTGGACCTTGTTCCTAAGTACCTAATTTTTGCATTTTGAGACATGATCCTAATGGCTAACTGCTGTTTTCAAGTTTATGATGCTAATATTCCTAACTGTTGTCTTCAAGGTAATGATCCCTAATGGTAAACTGTGGTATTCTTCATCATGTTTCTATCTGCCTTACTGTAGTACACGGAACCTTGTCTCCATATACTGACATGACATAGAGTGAGTGAGTGAGTGAGTGAGTGAGTAAGTATGGTTTTATAGGCCGCTTTTAGCAATATTCCAGCAATATCACGACGGGAGACACCAGAAATGGGCTTCACACATTGTACCCATGTGGGGAATCGAACACCAGGTCTTCAGCATGACGAGCGACGGTTTAACCACTAGGCGTCCCCACCGCCTCGACTTGACATAGATGTTTTAAGTGGCTAAGGACACAGACAATATAAGGGTAAGAAATAGAATGTGCTTGTGTAAGCCCTTGGATATTCTTCCAATTTTCATGAATGTTGTTGTATAGCGAAGTTAGCAATATTCAGGCTACATCTGTACAAAACTCCACCCTGGACCAGTGATTGATAGCATGAGCACCAATGCATGCCATGTGATACATGACACAGTCAGGAATATTGTAACCTCCTGATTCTCATGTTTGTTGTAGGTGAGGTTTTACTCCACTTTCGGGAATATTTCAGCAATATCACGGTGTTGGACACCAGAAATGGGCTTCAAACATTGTACCCTAGTCTGTCACACAGATCCTGAAGCAACTATATCCGAGAAAGCCCATGTAAATCTAGAAAATGTGGCAAGTCTAGATTTCCACAGGGCTCCTCTTCATTATATTTTATTTTTTTAACAATGAGCTTTTTTTTCTGTAAAATATGTTCATTTCAGAGACTAGTTGTTAGTCTAATTGTACCCATGTGGGGAATCAAACGTGGGCCTTCAGCATGACAAATAAACGATTAACCACTAGGTTACCCCACCGACCCACTCATGTTTGGAGGATGACAAGGAGTATGTGCTGGGGCCTATTCTGACACAGAAACAAGTTACTAGTAAATAATGGGTATACGGCAGTCAGTACTAGGTTGATCCAACAGTTACCACAACAACTTGGAGACTTGGTGGCACAGCACAGAATTACCTCCCTTTGCATTCCAGGATCCTATAATTTCATATCATAGATATGCATCTACTTCCATCCTGTGTATGTAAGTCAATACATGTGTTGGCAAAATTTGTAAAACTAAACAAAACTAAAATCCTAAACAATCTCAGTCACAGTTGGCTTTCAGCAGTGGGTGACACATTGTAATAATTTTCAAATTGACATTAAACCCAACTCACTCACTCCTCAATGGCTCCATCATGTAGCCTTGGAGCCAAGTTGGAGTCTGCGTGGATGCCTGCTCCTTGGTGGATTTGAGACATCTGTGCCTGTCATTGAAGGCCACCTATCTGAGACGTGTAACAACCAACTTACGAATGCCATTCCCGAACCTCGTATAACCTCTAATCAGCCATGAAGAAACATGCACGGCCTCATAAAGAAATATTTTCCAAAAGTCATAAATTTCTTTGTTCGCTATCCCTGATATTATAGGCGCACACATAAGTCTTGTTCCCCGCAAACCTGGAAACCTATTAATTTTCCATATCTCTAATCTTATCATGACAGGAGAAATGTTTGCATGCTATTTGATTAAATAGGGAATTTGAAACAATTTTCTCAGGCATATGTCAATTAGCAGTTTATGCCTGATAGAAGGTGAAGGCTGAATGCTATGGTGTCCCCTTATTTCCCACTATCTATCCATGACATTTTGCTTGTCTCTGACGGATGACATTTATGAGCGCGGTATTACAGCCATATTGCTCTGCTGCAACCATGTTTTGCCTCTACGGCCATTAAAGTAGTCATCTGCGGTAGACCATATGCTTTCTGAAATTTCACAAATGGTTGAAATGTGATCTTCACTCTGGTATATTTTGCTCCGTGGACATAAATTTTCACAGAACGTGGTTGAGCTTCTTGGTGGCCACACAATGCCATAGATACGAGATTTTGACATCTGGGAGTGTCATTTCAGGTCAACTCACAAATGATTTGTCAAATTTTACAAATGCTTGTAACTTAACCCCTAAGCTTGGCATATATCTTTTTTCATTTGAGGCTATACTTTTTTTATAAATAAACCTTTTTGAGAAAGTATTAAATTCATCTGTGAACTTTTTCAACTATGGGTGGGTGCTGATATGACACTGTGTAGATGAACGATACTTAAAAATTGCACAGAATTTTTGCAGAAAAATTCTTATGACAACAGCGTCTAGTGTTACGTTTCCTGTGCGCGTCCCTGATTTCCTTTCAAGAAGCATTTAGTCACTGTGATAATCATCACTGTATTTTTTCTTTTTTAGCTAAAGGGCATTGGAGCTAGTCTGTGAGGATCTCTCTAATTTGAGACCAAGATGGCTGCAACAGCTGCATCACTAGAATGAAGCTTCAGTGGCTGATGAAGACTCCGATGTGTTCAGACTGTAAACTTTGAATAAACTTGCCCTGTATAATTGATGCACTTTGTTTGTGATGAATAATATCAGTGGTGTGGCCAATAGCACCAGAGGCATATAGGCCCTCTTGTCTCCCATGACAACACAGGTGCATTGTGGGACTTGTGTTTTTTTGCTGATTGGTAATTAGATCTGCTATTTCAATCATCAATATAATATAACCTTTCAATTATATGATCAGGATTTTATTTAATTACATATTTATCTGTTTTATTTATTTATTTATTTATTTATTTGTTTATTTATTTATGATTTATGTTATTTTCGGGCACTTTCCACAAAGTGTACCCTTGCAGTAACAGACACCTGGCTTGATGTCTCTGCGTCAGAACAAGACCTGGAGATGGACTATTTATGAAAGGTCTGAATTATGAAGTGATATATTTTGAACATGTGATAACATTTTTGGGTCATAGCTGGGAGGCCTTGCAATATACAGCTTTAAATTCCAGTAGATGTTTCTTAACTTGTTTTGAGCAGTATATTTCTACACTAAATTGTCACACCCTCAGAGTGTGATTCTAAAAAATGAAACGTTGATGTACTCTGTACCCATGTTGATTTAGACTGTTATATTTTAAGTGAAATCTTGTTAAATAAATCAGTGATTAGTATAGAACTGCACTTTTGAAAGGGAATTTTTTATGGTTCCAAGGTACACAGACCAATTCTCATGATGTGTCAGATGTATAGGTTTTAAATGGAATGACATTATCCTTTTAAGAATCCAGCAGTATATAGTAAGGCCCCTTCAACTTTGTATAGATGTTGCCAACATCATCTTGAATTCCAGATTGATCAGGTGTCATAAAAAATGTTATTTCCACCTTTTTAGATAATATGCAAAAAGATAGGTAAACCGTAAAGTGATAAAAATGTGTCTAACCTGGCGACTTTACACATTGTAACCTCGTTAATACACAAACCTGGACGTTATGTCTAAATGGTTGTGCCAATACTCTCTGAAATATCTCTCAAGTATTTCACTGACAAAAAAGTGTTGATTTCTTCTTATCCCAGACTCTTAATAGTGTGTAACCCCTCTAAACCACAAACCTGAACTTTACAAAGTTTCTCAAAGACAACCATATTTGTGATTTGTCACAATCATGAACTTTCGCACAAACCTGTATGTTTCATGGGGTAATTTAAAGTTATTGCGGTAACCAGCGTTTTACTCACTCACTCAACTGCACTCTCACACTCATAATCACTCTTTTCAACTTGATTCACATCTGAATGTTTGAAATTTGTGTTGTTTCAAACAGTTTGAAGTAGTTTGCCTGGGTTTGAGTGAGTTGGGTTTAGCAGTATTCCAATATCTATCATATCATTCTCCCATGCGGGGAATCAAACACAGGCCTTCAGTGAGATGAGCGAACACTTGAACCACTGGGCTACCCACCACCCATTGCCTGGTTTGGTGTCACTGTCCTTTAAGGCTGAACACAGATGAGCCAGACCAAATGAAAATGCAGATCTCAAATACAAGTATTTGTATTTCAAACCCTATTCGTTATAAATAGTTTTTTAATTTTTTGTTAAGATTTTGAAGACCTGAAAACAATTAACCTCATCATCAACAGCCAGTTTCAAATTAATATCCTGACAACTAATATCGTACATGTAATTGACTTCAAGGTAACCTAAAACCATCTATTTTATATAAAAACCCAGTATGATTTTGTCTTCTTTATCTTGATTTAATAAGGCAGAAAATCAGTATAATAAGGTGAAGCATTACTCCTACCTTGTGTGAAACTGATACCATGGATGACATTTGGAATCTTGTGACTGTAACTTGTGTTACTTACAGCATTTCTTGAAGACACCATGATTTATTGGAAAGTTTGGTGCAATGTAATTTCTCTCACAGTCCCTGAACCGCAATATTTTCCCTTCAACCCAGCCCTCCCTGTAATGTAGTTTCTCTCACAGTCCCTGAACCGCAATATTTTCCCTTCCACCCAGCCCTCCCTGTAATGTAGTTTCTCTCACAGTCCCTGAACCGCAATATTTTCCTTCAACTTCCTCCCAGTAATGTAGTTTCTCTCACAGTCCCTGAACCGCAATATTTTCCCTTCCACCCAGCCCTCCCTGTAATGTAGTTTCTCTCACAGTCCCTGAACCGCAATATTTTCCCTTCAACCCAGCCCTCCCTGTAATGTAGTTTCTCTCACAGTCCCTGAACCACAATATTTTCCCTTCCACCCAGCCCTCCCTGTAATGTAGTTTCTCTCAAAGTCCCTGAACTGCAATATTTTCCCTTCCACCCAGCCCTCCCTGTAATGTAGTTTCTCTCACAGTCCCTGAACCGCAATATTTTCCCTTCCTCCCTGTAATGTAGTTTCTCTCACAGTCCCTGAACCGCAATATTTTCCCTTCCACCCAGCCCTCCCTGTAATGTAGTTTCTCTCACAGTCCCTGAACCGCAATATTTTCCCTTCCACCCAGCCCTCCCTGTAATGTAGTTTCTCTCACAGTCCCTGAACCGCAATATTTTCCCTTCCACCCAGCCCTCCCTGTAATGTAGTTTCTCTCACAGTCCCTGAACCGCAATATTTTCCCTTCCACCCAGCCCTCCCTGTAATGTAGTTTCTCTCACAGTCCCTGAACCACAATATTTTCCCTTCAACCCAGCCCTCCCTGTAATGTAGTTTCTCTCACAGTCCCTGAACCGCAATATTTTCCCTTCAACCCAGCCCTCCCTGCAATGCTAAAGCCCTAAATGAAGCAAGTCTAGATTTCCACAGGTTCAGGATCTCCCAACTCACTGGGGCTCCTTTTCAATTTAAGTGGGTGTATTTGTTTCTATCAAAATTATATATATTCAGTGAGTGAGATGTGTTTTTTTATGCAGCTTTTAGCAATATTCCAGCAATGTTCCAGCGGGGCACATCAGAAATGTGTTCACATATTGTACCCATGTGGGGAATCGAACACGGAGCTTCGGAGTGAAGAGTGAACGCTTCAACCACCAGGCTACCCCACCGCTATATTCAGAGACTAAGCCACAGTCTAGGGGTCAGTCTGAAGTAGAGAAACTTTTAGACTCTTACCAATTCAGTTAGACCCACCATAGAATTACTCTTTAAGATGGGACGGTTTTTTGGAAGTGAGTTGGGTGCAATACTGCTTGGAACACTATTTAGGTTGATTCACTGTGTGAGTTTGTTGAGGGATTTCTGATGAAGGTGAGGAAACTTTTAGACTCTTACCAATTCAGTTAGACCCACCAGTGCTGGTGGTGATGATCCCCGATTTGAGATTCAGTCTCATCATTGGATCCTGAAACACTTGGTTGCTTGGCCTGTTTACTGGAAAGAGGAAACATATTTGTGCCTGTTAGATGATGATGAATTAGATGATGAAATGGGATGTTGCATCTTGAAACACACATCATCATCTTGATAACAAGTGTACAAGTATAACAAGAATATCAGAATATATATATAAAAGATGAGTCCAGATATTTCTTCTTGCCAAAACTCCTTTATCTGCACAAGATCTTTTGCTGTTATGTATGTTTGTATGTATGTATGTATGTGTGTGTGTGTGCGTGTGTGTGCGTGTCTGTGCATACATTTATATGTACATATATAAGTGTGTGTGTGTGTATATATATATATATGATTGACAATCGTTGATGTATTTGACTCCATAGTAACAGAAACACTTTTCCAGACAGTAACTAGGCAGATATGACCACACACCAAGTGGTTGACAGTATGAACAACCATCCATGACATGGTGTATGATGACATGTCAGACTCACTGACTTGTTGACACATGTCATCGTATCCCAATTGCGTAGATCGATGCTCATGCTGTTGATCACTGTATTGTCTGGTCCAGACTCGATTATTTACAGACCACCACCATATATCTGAAATATTGCTGAGTGCGGCGAAAAACTAAACTCACTCACTCAATATCTGTTACACACTTCATACACCAGGACTGCCTTCTAAACCTTATTCACTATACTATTTAAAAAATGACAGTTTCCTTCAAGTTCCTCAGCTTTTTATCAGTTGTGTGTCACAAACAACATTATTCTCAGTAATGAAGATACTGATCTGCTTACTGAAGCCTATGATAAAGTATATACTTACAACTGCTTGTAGACTAACAACTAGTCTCTGAAATGAAAATATTTTACAGAGAAAAAGCTCATAATAAAAAATATATATATAATGAAAAGGAACCCTGAGACTTTCTTCATAGCTGTGGAAATCTAGACTTGCCACATTTTCTAGACTTGTGTGGGCTTTCTGGGATATATTTGCTTCAGGGTCTGTATGACAGACTAAATTGCTTGTAACCCTATAATTTTTGTGTGGATGGGGACCCAGGTCACCTGATGAGTAAGATATATCATATGACAATATGGTATTTTGTGTATTTTCCTACATGGTTTTGAGAATCGCAACAACAAACCAGCCATTGTGTCACTGGAGTAGACTCTAAGTAGTTTCAGCATAAATGATTATTTCACTCCCATGAGAATGACTGTGGTAAATTCAATCTTTCATTACTAATATGTCAATTAAGAACAGGTTCCCCTTTAGTTTGAGTGCCAGGTAAATGTCCATTTTAAGTACTGGATAACTAACAGAGATGTGTTATTTCCCTCAAAAGGTGAGAATTTTCTCATGGACTTTAAGAATGTTATGCCATGATATTAATAAATTAAATCTAATTTGACGGTCTAACATTATCTTATTTGTAAGCAGTATACAAACAGCTTAGTCATGAGAACAATAATATTTTAAGACAGGCTGGAATTGCATCTTGTTTAACAATACATATTTTCAGAAATCTGACATTATACATTTCAACCCCATATTTAAATTTGACCACATTGAAATAGACTTGTCAATGTTAATCGTAACTTCGTTGGACAAGTTTTCATTTTTATCATATTTGATCAAATATTAACAGAGCCTTAACAGTTTTGTGACAATTTTCAAATCTGAATCCTGTGTTTTCTCAGTGTAT